AACATTATATTCTCAGCACTGGTTGCAAACGATATCATCCTTCACGGAAGCAATGTTGAATAGATGACCCTAGATGGCGCCAGACACTTGCTCATCAAAGTCAAGTGCAACCGAGCACAGAAGCATCATTTACCTCCTGTAAAAGTGTCCAATAGGCCTGGAGATGTGTCAGGGTCATTCTATTCTATCAATCTTAAATCCTGCAAATAAAATGTTTGGGAGGTTTGAATTCAGAAAAATAATATATTTGGAAATGTATGCATCCATTCATAAGTATAAGGTGCAATATTTTCAAGGTTAGACTGAAGTACTCAAAGGTATTCAGATAAAATCAGACTACTGTTTTTTTTATCAAATGGATAACATGATTATTTGTAAGAAATATTCCATGTCATGTGTCATCAACTAACTATATTTCCAAATAATCTGACCCAACCCTGTTTTTTCACAGACTTTAGATGCTCAGTCGGAAGTGAGCTGTGAGAATACTTCACTGGAATTTGGGGAGTAGATTTTTAAGCTGAGTCAGAAGATGTATCCTTACTGCAAAATTATAAAAATTGTCCACCTCCTCAACCATGTAATACTAACCTGTTTATCTCTACAAATTTATAAAGCAGTGGTTGATGCTTTGTGTCCACAACAGGTTCAGTTCTCTATCAGTTGCAAGTTGTAATATAACATTTATAAGACCCTGGTGGCCCTGGGGTGTCAGGCTCTGACCATGAACTGCTGCTGCACCCTAGAGGTCCGTCTGCTTGTGATTCATTGTTGCCTGTAATTTCCCATCCGTCTTTCCCCTTTCTGTAAACTATCTGCAATCACAATGCTGAGAAAGGTATACAAAAAAAATCTATAAAAAAATCTCTATTCAATTATAGCACTTGTAGTCATACACATTTTGTTCGGGGAGACAAATGTGAAGCAATGTCTTAGTTTTGTCATATGTCTTAGTGACCCAAAAGGAGTGATTTATAACAGCACTATTCTGGTTATGTAAAGGTATTTAAAGGGAATTGTGATGCATGATCATAAAGTGCACATTTGTGAAGCAATTATTAGCTTAAGAATGTATTTCTGCAGATCTTTAGGGCAAGATAAGGTCACAGAAACTGAACAGTTGTGTTGGAGTTTTTGACTTCCTACTGAAATAGATGAGGGAAATGCTATAAAAACATCATGCAACACTGTTACCGGCAGTAAGTCTATTTATCTCAGTTTTTGACTATTTCCTAATAACCTGTATGTTGAAATGAAGTTTTACAAGTATCTGTAGTCTCTCTGAATGGAACCGAACATTCCTAAATCCACTTTTGGTCTACTCTACATGGGACATTGGCTATCCAGGTATGTTTATAAGCCCTGATTGCACCAAATGGACGTATTCCCACGTAACTTCTAAATCCCAGAGCGAGTGATTCCACAGACTCTTGCAGATTGAAAGGCGCAATACTTTCTTTGTATTTCTTTGTTTTTACTTATATATGTGTATGTCTGCCATTTTCTTTAAGCGTATAACCCCTGGCTCCCCTCCAACATTTTGTTCTGATTCATTCTGGCTTTCTCGTTAAATCAAAATGACTGGAGTTGAAAACTATCCCCAAGAGATAAGGAAATTAGCTGAATTTAGAATTATTTCCCGTTAAAGTTATGTTGTCTCGCAAAAGACGTTTGATGCACTGTGCTTCTGCGATTCGCCTGAAATTATTATAAGTTTGATATTGAGTTCAGTGTTAATTTCTTGTATGAAGAATCTCTCAAGTCATTTTCCCACCAATTCATTTGGGATGAATCAAAAATAAAAGTACTTTTAATGTATTTTTGGAGCTTTTCCTTTGGTTCCCATGTCAGTGTTGTCGTATGTTCTACATACCAAACCTTTGATGACAAATCCCTGTGGCAAAAATCAAATGGTCATTTCAAAAAGTATTCAAGTGTATTACCACCATCTGGTATTGTTGACCTTTTATGATGCAGTTGTTATCGTCATGGCTTGCAATCTTCGTAAAGGCAAATCATGTGCTTTTCCATATTGGATTGATTTGATCCAGGAGAGCTGAACAAATAAGTACATGTTGGGGCATGCATGCATGCACATTTTGTATTGCTGAAATGACACAGGTTCTTTCGAATGTGTTTCACAGAGCATTAAATAACTTCAAGCCATACTCACTTGGCTTCCCACTAGTGATGTGACATTCGCGAACGATCCGATTATTTTTGAACGGCTCTTTGGTATGAACTAAGGGAACCGAGTCCTACTTGTTGAGAGCCGTTCTTTTTAACTGCCTGCCATAAATCCACTCGCCTTTACTGGGAACTTGAGTAGCAGTTTGGCTGGCTGAGAGATGTAGCAAGTTATACATTTTCTGTGAGTAAAAGTAGATTCTGGCAATAGAGAACCGCAGTGACGCGTCGTAAAACCCGGAAGTAAACTTCTTCCGGTTCCTTCTTGAAAAACCAATGCAAATTCTCCATAGGATTTTGGAAAATAGCTCGAAATAAGGTCTGTAGTTGACACACATTTAAGAGAGGGATCACGTTTTGTTCAGCCGGATAATCTCCACATGTCAACCCTACTTTTATCATTTCTGAATCATAAATCTAGTCGCGAAAAGCTAACGTTATGCTATAAACGAACTACAAGCCAGTACAGCAGCAGGGTCGCACGACTTCAACGTCACGCCAACTTAAGATCGTTTCAACTGACTTGCACTGAAACTGCACTTTGAACACTTTAAATTAAATATATTAACATTTTAAACTATAACCCGGTTATCTAGGCCCTTTTTGTTTTGTTTAATGTATACCACGTTTATCTAGGCCCTTTTTGTTTTATGTATACATGTCACACTGTGGGAAACGATATTTCTGGATGTATAACACATGTAGAATTTGACAATAAAGCTGAATTTGACTTTCGCGTGCTTGCATATTTTAACAAAGCTTTTCATTTTAGCCACACTGAATTTAACTAGAAGTCATGGCTGTGTCAATTACCAGTCTGATATCGGTTTACAAAGATGACAAGAAGAGTGTAGATAGAGGAGAGAACCACTACAAGTCAGGACACGTTACAGTGCAGCCTAGATGAAGGTGTGCTTACCGGTGTTGTCAGGGCTAGCATGAGGGACAAGGTTTATAGTGTCGGTGAGTAGTGATAGCAAGAGTACCGTTAACCTAGAGTTAATTTATTCACATTAATTCCCATCAACAAATCAATTGTATGTGTCACATGAAATCTTTATTAGGCAAGGCAAGTTTATTTATATAGCACTTTTCAACACAAGGCAATTCAAAGTGCTTTACAAAAAATGAAAGACATTAAGAAAATGGCATTTAAAATCAGTCATTAAAAAGAAAAGCTAATAAAATAAACATTAAAAGAAAAAATACATGGATAAAAGTTACAGTGCAGTCTAAGATATGAATAGTTCAATTAAAAGCAGCGACAAAAAGAAAAGTCTTCAGCCTGGATTTAAAAGTAGTAAGAGTTGCAGCGGACCTGCAGGTTTCTGGGAGTTTGTTCCAGATATTTGGAGCATAATAACTGAACGCTGCTT